GAAGGTATGGTAATTTCTTGGGGCACAGTAATGGAAAATTTAGGAAAAAAAGAAAACAAGATCATATGTCATTTATATTTCAATAAAACTGGGGAAAAATAAAAAGAAAATATGATCAGTTAGAAAAGAGGTGAACAAAAACTCATTTGGCAAAATCTAACCTCCACTGCTCCTGAGTATCTGTTCCAGATTATCAGCATTCCCTGTTCATACCCATATGAAAAAAGATATTGAGTCTTCAATCATTTCTGATTCTGTTCAAGTGTTTTTTGATTAATATATCAACATTTTTATATTAACAGAACAAATGAGATAAGAGCATATCAATTTAGATAGTAAAACCTATCCCAAACGAATGTACATTTTCCTAGGGATTTTTGCAGTTTTCCCCTATGATCAGGAAGAAGAATCTAGGATTTACTGTGAGTTGGAAATAAAATCTCTGTGGGTTCACGGTATAAGGAAAAATTTCTCATTGCTGACAATGCTTTGGTGTTTTATTGTCATGAACTGTGAAGCATCCCTTCTTGCAAGCTAATAAGTTAACCAGCTAGTTTCATGGACGCTGGCTGAAGTCAGGGGACTCCTGAGCCAGATACAAAGTACTTTATTGCTCACAGTACAGCAAGAGGAATGAACAGTAACGTATTTGCATCAGTTTCTCTCGTTCCCCAGTCCTAGGGGGAATATGTAATGGACACAGATGGCACTGGTCCAGAGTAGGATGCACTGCAAAAGAGAAACCCAGGATCAAGGGTTCAGACTTCTTGAGCAAGCAGTGAAGGAGACAGTTTTCCTCACCCTAGCAGCAGGCAGTTACAAGACAGTCAGGATATAGTCCCCGTGACCTATTTAGTTGTCTATGTGACTAAAGAAACTGCTCAGTGTCAGGGGACAGAGAAGCCTCACAATCTGGCAAACTCAGCAAGAATGTGCAAGAACACTCAAGGCCATGGCAGACCTGCCTCTTCAAACAATCCACCCACATGTTCTTAGCAGAATTCAAAGTTGCTGTGGCTATATGACTCCGTTGACCACTCTGATTAAGCTAACAGTCATTTCATTTGTCTCATGGAGCATTTAATTAAGGCACTATCAACAATAACCAAGCACCTGGATGAGGTCAATCTGTAGTATTGACTTCAGTCATGCCCCCCAGATTCCTGAAATCCCATAATCCATCAGGCCTACCTTAGAAAAACCACTAGCTTTCTCCTAAGGCTTTGATTTGACCTTCCTACTTGGTTTGAGGCATTAATCCAAGCACAGCTGCATATATTATGAATTGTTCAGAATGCGTCATTTAGGGCAATTCTATCATCTATAACAACTCAAGCCAGTTAGTGAAGGTGAACTTGACTGCCTTCTAAGGCTCAGGTGGTGTCACTAATCACTTTTGCTAAACTCAGGAACATATTTCTTACCATCTTTTCAGAGTGCACATAAATGAGTTAGTTATCCCTCTGAGTTATCTGAGGGTTTTGTGATGTATTGGAGGCTCCTTAAGCACTTGAAAGTCTCTTACAGCAACATCAAAAATGCAAGTCACTGTGATCTTGGAAGTGAAGAAATTAATGCCTGGTTTCCACACAAAAAGTAGTCCTAGGAGTGAATAGAATGTCCCTAGAAAGTGTTGGTTACAGTCATTAGGGCCTCCTCATGGGACTGACCTAAGTCTGAGAGCATAGGTTGACCGCACCTCCAAAGGGATGAAGAAGTCTCCTCGCTGTGCCCTGCCCCCAACCCCTCCCTGCTCAACTTGGAGAAAAGTTACAACCTGTTTTGCTGTCTATCTTTAAACCTACTCCCTGGTATTGAGCCTGCAAATCCCTCCCGAATTCCTCCTCATTAACAGCCAGTAACATGGGGGGTCATTTAATTGCCATTTGACCATGCAATCCGGTCGCTATCCTTGCTACCGATTTCCAATCACTTGTTTCAAATTCAAATTTGGTAAGTTGCTTACTAAGTCTCTCTCAGCATCCTAGCCCCATAACCAAAAACTGTAAAGAAATGTGAAGAGATTTTACCCTATTTGCAAACTAACAAGCTAGCTAGCCATATTTTCATAGTTGCTAGTTATACATAAGATTCCTGTGTTAAATCTATGTTAATTTATTATTCACAGCAGTAGCAGATTATCAGTGTTATTTTTTGTGCTGCTGCCCAGTCCCACTTTCTAAAGGCCAAGAGGAAGAGGGTGAGATGACACCTACATTTGCAATGCATTGCATTACAGTAGAAGAAAACTAAATTTAGGGAACCCAAATCTCTTAAAATGGGAAGGAACAGCTATTCACTCTACAAACATCTCTGAGGAAATTGTTTGGAACAAAAGGTATTCAGTACCTCTGGTCTCAAGATATTCACATACCATGAAAAGTTGTCTCCCAATAGAAACCTGTAGTTTTAGTAGTCATTATCTTCTAATTCATATCTTATATGAGTTGGGATTGTATTCCGCTGCATATAACAAAATCCTGACTACGGTTATTTAACCAAATGTACTACTTATTTCCTTTTTTTCCTGACTATAACCGGAAATTCAGAGGTGGACACTCCAGGTGATACAGACAGAAAGGAGGTCTGCAAGGACCCAGGCCCCGATCCTTCTGTTCCACCACCCTCACGATTTGGCTTTCCATTTGATGGTCCCAACACGCATACACCACCTCTATTAGTATAGTTCTGATGCTCAGTGGCAAGGAGTGATTATCAGATTTGAAGAAAAGAGGAAGAATTAGATATGTATGTAGGGTGATTAGGAAACACTAGCAAGTAAATTTTTTGAGACACAGTGTGACTATAGGATTTTACTAAAAAATAGGTGCAAGTAGATGGGTTGTATCAAAGTGATACTATGTTTTGAGGGTCATGGGCAAACCATTTATCAATTAACAAGCTAACAGGGGTGACTTGAAAAGTCTCAATTCTATATGCTCTCAATATAGATGAGTAATTTGGTAGATAAGCTATGATTCAAAAGTATATTTTTTAGTAAAAATGGGTGATTTTAAATTTTATTACACAAATGCATGGTTCAAATAGCTCTAGAATCTTTCATTGTTTGGTGTTACCATCCAGATTTATGAGTTACAGCTTGTGATAGGTGATGCAAACAGCTAGGTGATGTGGATGCAAACAATAACAATACTAATAATAATTATTATAACAGTAATTGTAATAATATAGTTATTTATTGCTTAAAAACTATTCCATATTTATCTTCTTATTTGAGCTACTCAATATTTACATGAGAACTTAATATTACCCTATTTACAGATAAGGCAATTCGGACACACAAAAAGAAAGTTTAAGTGACTTGTCTCCAGTCATAGGCACTAGAGATACAATTATATGCAAGACAGAAATAATCCCCCCTCTCCTGATACTCTGTTCTAATGAGAATGTTACAGGGAACTTGTGGGCAACTGTAACACAGCAAGTGTTGAGCTAGAGGGGTACAACCACCACATGAGGGGCACGGAAAACAGACTTGGAGAGGGGTAGAATCAGGGAAGTTTCCTTAGGTTTCATTTCAGGCTTCATTATGTTGTCTCTGAGAACACGAGTTTCTATTAAATTAACTTATTGTGTTCTCATAATGTACCAAATTGATTTTGGACTTGATAGGGCAAAACTTAAAAAAGTCACTACCATGTAATTAACTCTTCCTCCAAGGTTTCTCACTGTGGTTCCTGTACCAACTACATCAGTTACCTGGGGTGCTTGTTAAAAATACAGACTTGGAGGGGGGTAAGGGGAGGAATGTCCTAGACTTTTATATTTCCTAATTTTTTTTAAAGGTCCAGGAAAATTGTTGTTTTAAGTGTGCCCACCTTGGGGATTTTGAAGTCAAATAGTAAAACAAAGGAGACATTTTTGGTAGTGGCTCCAAAGGGCTCCTGCTTCAATAAAAGTTGTTTTTTAATTGGTGGTGAGAATAGGAGAGTGTATATTTGGAGGAAATTGTAAATGATATAGTAGTGAAAGGAGTGCTACACTGAAGACTGTCAGAGCCGATACCCAGCTGCAAGGTGCGTGGCTTAGCCTAGCTGCTCGATAAATGGTGACTTGAACGCAGGGACACAGGTATTTGTAATTTCCCTGAGTTTTGAAAATCTTTTCTCTTAGCTTTCTGCTCTGGTCTTCCAGTGACCAGTCAGCAGCAACTGACTGGAGGAAGGAAGGAGAAAGACTGAATTCAAACCCCAGATCATCAACAGTTGAGAGGACCAAGTTCCTTAATCCCAATTTTCAAAGAAGTCTTAGAAATAATACATCAGCACTGTTGGAAGTCTCAAATGAGTTAACTAAGTATCAGTGAAACACATTATAAATGAAAATGCTTAGGCCCGTGCCTAACACGTAAATGCGTTCCATAAATGCTCATTCAAACCCTGGCAATACGCTCTACTCCTTAACGTCTGTGATGTCACTTAAACAGGGCCTCAGACCCTCGGAGCAAGTCTTGGTGAAAATAAAAGAAAAATGAATAAATGAATAAAGGACAACACCAAGGCACCCTAGCACCGAAGGGCCACAGGCTGCACACTGGTGGGTTCGTGGGGGCCGGGAGGCGTGCCGAAGTGGTCCCTCCCCACCGGGCTCGCGGCACGTGGTAGGCTCCCGCGGTAGCTTCGCGACAGTGGGGGTGGGGGAGGCAGGGGACGACGCGGAGGGGGCCCAGGCAGCCGAGGTACGGTTGGGGAGGCGCCGACTGCGCAGGCTCCAGATAGGCGCAACCAATGTGCGAATATCTGAAAGGGGGGAGCGTTCATCTGCTCCATGTTTCTTTTTAGCTACTTGAAAAAGCGAAAGCCTGCTCTTTTTTCTAATTTTACGACTATATTTTCTCCCACCTTCTCCAAGTTCTTTATTATCAGAAGGCCCCTTATCTTAAGATTGCAGGGGCCTCTTTCTCTAGTCGTGCCCCTTCCTCCCCCGTGGAGGCCACAGTGGACGGGCCCCACCTTCCCTCGGCCTCCGGAGGTGGTTTGGCGGCTCCCTCCCCCTCCCCAGTGTCGCGAGTTGGCGCCGCTGCCACCCCCCGGCTCCGAGCTCCCGGCCCCTCCGCCCGGCCCTACCGAGCCTTTCCGGCGCCCCCTCCTCGCCTGCCTCCGGCCTGCTCTTCTCCGCGAGACGGCCGCCCCCACCTAAGCTCCAGCCCTTTTCTCTCCCCGCCGAGCCGCGGCGGCAGCAGCACTAGCAGCAGGAGGAGGAGCCCTGAGGCGGCGGTGGCCCAGGAGCCCATGGCGTACAGTCAGGGAGGCGGCAAAAAGAAAGTCTGCTACTACTACGATGGTGAGAGGCAAAACTGGCGGGCGGGCAGGGCTGGGAGGCCGGGGCCGCACCGGGCTCTGAGGCCGGCGAGCGAGGGGGCGCCGGTACTGAGGGGTGGGAAGGGGGAGGATCGACGCTTGGCCGAATCTTAACCCGTTCCGGACCCATTGCCTTAAGTGGGACTTCTTCCGCGGTTAGCCTTCCCAGGGGACTGTGATGGGAGCCGGGTGGACGCCCCACTTTCTCTCCTGACGCTCTCGGGCAGTGCAGTCTAGCGCTTCTGGAACGGCGCCGGCCTACACACCCGGTTTCGTGGTGGTGGCGGAGGAGATGGTTCTCCTTAGCATCTCTCTTGCCGGACACCCGTGGGAGCAGAGGTTGGGGGTGCCCTGCTCCGGCCCCTTGGACCCGACCCTTCCCCCAGGTCGGAACAGTACCCGGGCCCGGGCTCCACACAAAGCCCCGCGGCCGCGGGAGCTCCGCCCCTCCGGTCGGCTTCGCCCCCCCCCCCCCCCGCCCCCTCCGCCCATCCCGCTGGTTCCCCTCCCAGTCTCTGGCTGCGCGAAGCGCCTTCTCCTTTCTCTTTTCTCCGCCTCTGTCCTCCTCCGGGCCCCTCGCCCCGGGTCGGTGCTGCAAAATAGATACTGAGGGTGGGTACCCACGATCGGCCAGGGACACACGCCGATGTTTTGCGTGGGCTCCATCCCCTCTCCTTTGTTCGCCGGTTTTTTGAGCGCCACTTTCTCAGTATTCAAATGAAAAGACTGCTTCACTTCCTCAATAAAAATTAGGGTTTCCAAGTTTGAGGCAGTTAGTCTTCGCGGGGAATAGGACGGTGGTAGAGAAAGGTGGGGCTCTTACTGTTTGTGCTGTAGATCGGACTACGGGGTCCCGGTTTGCCTCCCTGAGAGGTGGTTACCACCCACTTCTTTGTTGCTCTTTGTTCGATCAGGAAATACCACCCTGCTTTGGAGGTTCAGGTGGTGGGAGTCCTGGTCTAGGAAAACATTGAGTGGTGCAGAAGTACTAAATAATTAGGTAGGCTTGAGTTCACGGTACATAAGTTATAAAAGTCAGGTTTTAATTTTAGTGTTTCTTCTAACTTGAAGTTTAATCGGTAACGTTAAGTCTGAATCCTGTTTCCTGATCCAGCCTAAATTATACTGAGTAGAGGAGTAACCTGTTTTACAGATTTCACAAAGACCTTAATATGGTAAATAGTTCCTAGTAGGTCACTCACTAGAGAAGGAATTCTAAAACAAAAGAAGCCAGGCTTAACGACCTGAAAGTCCTATCTGATTTGTCTGAAATAATACAAATTTTGAAAACTGTTTCATACATTCGGTGTATTATAAATCACAGAATCTTAGAGAGGTTTGGAAAGACCTTAGAGGAATAAGTCAGATTCTAATTTGGAAATGGACATACTACATCTCTTCAGTTGGCAAGGATGAATCTTTAATGTCTGTGTATATAAAATAATCACCTGTGTCATTTGTGGAAAAATCTAAAATCTTGCAGAAATCTAAATTGTGTGATCTTTGGTTTCTAGTACTCTAGGTGAAGCCATGTTTTAAAGACAGTTTTTGACAGTACCACATATATGTGTAATGCATACTGGTTTAAAATTATGCCATTGTGGAGTAGGGATGGGGATTACACTGTAATTTTAACATCAATTAGAGTTTTTTAAAATTTGTTTTCTAAGACTTCATGCGTATTTCGGTCACTGGCCAACCCCTGGCCTTGCATTCACATCAGAAAGTAAATAATCAAGTGTCTAAGTTAATTTTTAAAATTATATCGTTTCTAAGATTTAGAGATTTGTTCTTGCCAGAGCTTAGGATAAAGGAGAAAGGTTTAAAAAGTTTGGGGAAACTGGTGCTAAGGCTCTTCCTGCAGCTGTTAGAGCCTGTTGACAGTGAAGAACCAAGCCACTTGTAACTTTTTGTCACAGGACTTGAACTGCAGAACCAGGAGGTAGACTTAAGTAGCAGTTTTATGAACAGCTGTTGGTTCTTGACCTATTTATGATGGGCCATTGTTGAGGGAGTGGGAGCAAGCACTGGTCCCAGTGGCAAGATGTACACTTGATAGGTAGAACGGAAGAGTGGAAATAATTTAAGTCTCATTATTGTGACTTAATATTTTATGGTACACCATTCATCTGCTTTACCTGATGGCCATCAACAGCTGTATAATTAAGTGTTTGGAAATTTCTGGTTAGGTTATCTGTCTGTGGTCTGAGGTTCTCCTTGGCTCATTTTTCCAATGGAATTTGTAATGGCTTACATTTGGAATATTCTTTGGGTTTTTGCAGGGTAGGGGTTAATAAAATATTTTGAAGAGATTATTAAATTGGATAGGTATTGTGGTAATTATTATCCTGGATAGTATGTCAAACTTGGCACAATTCCAAAAGCTTACGTTTTTATAACTGAAAAACTATTTTGTCAGCTTACATAGAAAGGTAGCAAGGGTTTGTTTGGGGGTTTTTTTTCTGTTTTTAATTGTGAAAAAAAAGGATGCAAGTAAAGCAGCTTTTGCACCAAAGAATTCTATCACTAAAGGATATACAACATGAATCAGATTGGGAGTGGGTAGTATCAGTAGTAATAGGGCCTTTTAATCCGCTAGCCCAGGTTAAATTTAGCTGGTTTTAATTTGTTGGTAAAGAAAATGGAAGAACGATGAAAAAGAGTGGAGTAGCAAACTCTTTAACGATAGGAATCCTACCTTTAGGCTTACAGAGACCATTAGGAACTCTTGGTGACAAAAAATCTTTGTTTAGCAAGTGAAATGGACTTCTAAAGACACGTATTTTTCTCTTTATACTTTACAGTCTTCAGTACTATACCCTTTGATAACTAGAATGCTGGTTCCAAGTGAATCTCAAAGCATCCTTAAATCTTTGGGAAACGTTAAGAGAAGTTCATATTTCTCGTAGCTATTGGCTGATGCCTCCAAATTTTCCAAAAACATTTCTAAAACTTGGCCATCTTGTTGTATATACTGCAAGATTACCAATAACCTCTTAAAAGATAGAGCTCCTCAGTCACTGGCTTTGAAATGGTGTGATTTCTGTGCTTAAATACAAGTAGCAAACCAAGCTGTATTAGGCCATGATTACAATATGTTTTTAATCTTTTATCTGGAAGTGTTGACTAGTCTTAGTTTTGAATTAAACTTGAGACTAATCACATTAGTGCCTGTTTTGTTATATACACTATATAACAGGGTTGTATAAATAGTTGACCTTTGAACTGCACAGAGCCACTTACACACAGACTTTTCAGCAAATACACTCCATACCTGTGGATTCAACCAACCACTGATTGGAAACAGTATTTTCAGTCCACAGTTGGGACTTTATGGATGCAGAGGGTTGACTATGCATTTTTTGTGTCATTTTATAGAAGGCACTAGAGTCTGGGGATTTTGGTGACTATGGGGTGTGGGGGGAATCTTGGAACTAGTCCCCTGCACCAAGGAGGTGCTATAGTTCAGTTTGGGGGGAGTCAAAAATAATGGGCAGATTTTTGACTGCGGGTGGTGGGGATCAGTGTCCCTAAGTCCCCGTGTTGTTCAAGGGTCAGGTGTATACATAATTTATATAATTATGCACATACTAGTTTGTGCTCTTATTTTTGCTTCATCTTTGCAGGGTGCATTAAAATGTTTGGAGAACCCTGGCTGGTGTGGTTCAGTGGATTGAATGCCAGCCTGTGAACCAAAAGATTGCCAGTTCAATTCCTGGTTCAGGGCATATGCCTGGGTTGGGGGCCAGGTCCTTGGATGGAGACATGCAAGAGGCAACCCCACCGATGCACGTTTCTCTTGCATATCAGTGTTTCCCTCTTTTCCTAGTTCTCTAAAAATCAATAAAATATTTTAAAAAAATGTTTGGAAACAAGTGGTTCAGAGAAAAGCACTCAATGCTATACAGAGATGGAATATAAAAGTTAAGCTTAAGATCATGCCTCCTAATAATACTCCTAGTTTACCGTAGCAGATTATAAGAATTCTTGGCAGCCAACTATTGACAGATTTTATAATAGTAGTGCCAAAGTTTTATGCTAGATACCCTTTTAATACAACTGCTTGGGTTTAGGTGTAGTGTAAATCTATATTATCCATAAAATTTGATAATCATTTCTCTGATTTGCTAATCAAGAGTGCTGGATGAGTTACAGCAGCAGTTCACAAATACCAGTGGTTTTAATTACACATCATCATTTGACCATAGTAGAACATAACTCTTAAGAGTGTGATTTCCCTGTATTTGGAGCCTCTTCCCCGATATTCTCTACCACTCACCTCCTTTAAATTTCACCTTATCAAAAAGGCTTTCCTCTATTACCTTAACCTCAATACTGCTTTTCATCCTGTCACTTGTACCACCTAACTTTTGTCTTCTTTCCACAAGATTATAAGCTTCATGATGTCAGAGTCTGTTTTGTTTATGGCTATACCTCCACCATCTAAATTTTTGAAAAGTAAAGGAATTTTAAATTCCTAATGAGTAAATGTTTAATGCCTTATATTTTTAGAGATACAGCACTTTAGATGACATTCTAATTTTTACAGCCACTGAGTTACAGGTAGGATGAGTGGCATTTTGTCTGTTTTAGATGAAAATAGATTCATATCCCTGTTCACCTCATCCACCCCTTATCCTTTTCCACAGTGAGTAGTTTAATGTGCATGGAGAGTTCAACACCTGGTGCCTAAAAGATTTTTCCCCATTGGTGACACAAGAGTGGGCGTATTTTCACCGCTGCATGCGCGCGCGCGCTTTGGTTGCTGTGACTCAGTGGATGCTGGCCTGTGAACTGAAAAGCCTCTGAAAAAGCTGCTGGTTCGATCCCCAGTCAAGGTATATGCCTGGGTTGCAGGCCCGGACCCCGGTTGGGGGGAGTGTGAGCTAGAGGATGATGTTTCTCTCCCTCCCTTCCCCTCTCTCAAAAATAATTAACATCTTTAAAAAATTATTAAAAAAAAGTTTCCTCTGCTACAATTAAAAAAAGTATTAGTAATTATTTCTTTCCTTTTAACAAAGCTTTAAATGCCTCGTTTGACAAGGCATTTAAATTGGGAAATTGGGGAAGAGGTAGCAGTCATACTATTGATCACTGGCGAGGCCAGATTTAAAAGTTCAAGTATAAGGAGGTGTATACTGGTTAGTAAGTCTTCTCTCTCTTTTAATAGCAATTGGTATATACTTGTTCATGAAGTTAGTTTTGGGTTCAGAAATATCCAATGGGGTTAAAGTCTTTACTCTGTGCCAGGTAGACAAAAGATTATTTGAGTCTTAAGAAGAAAACAAAAGACTATGTTTGATAGTAAGAGAGAACGCCTTTATAGGATAATAAGACATGGTAAAAAGCCTGAAGGAAGAGAATGAATGGGCTAGCCATAAAAGAAATTTTTTCTACATATGGCATTGCAAACTGCACTGGCCAGATAGTTAGAAAAAACCTGGTACAGTTAATGAAAGGAAGCAGAGAGGAAGACTTGGGGGGACCATGGGGTGCCAAGCTAGGTAGTTAGTATAGTATAGGACCAGACCATGCAACACTTTGTGGTAAGATACTTAGAAAGCCATTAACAGTTTTAAGTAGAGAGAACTCTTGGAAGTGGGGACAAAATGGTGAAGAGTGCTAGAATGTTAGACTGACAGCAAGAATTAAATGCATGTTGGTCCACATAAAATGTAATGGCTGCAATTGACAGACTTGGACACATTTAAGGAAGGTTTGGGTAGTAAAACCAATAAAACTTGTTGGTGGATTGGAAATGGAGTGAGAACTGGGAGATGGTGGTACAGAATGAAGAATAACTCCAAAGTTTCTAGATTGAGCAAGTAATTGATTCATTCCTGAGAGAACCACATTGAGGGCAGCACTCTTGTTCACTAACTGACTGGCCCAAACACTCAGAACAGCAGCTGGTGCATGGTAGGCTCTTAACTTGTTAAATCAATGAATGAACTTGAGAGACCCTGATATTTAAAGTTTGGATGATGAGTGACTGTGTTTAGGGATAGAATCAAGGCAAATGGTACTCTAAATGAAAGTTAAGACTCTTCATTGTCTCAAGGAGGAGGAGTGACCAGTGTGTTAAATCTGCTAGAATTAAGACTGTGGAAGACAAAAATAATATAGTAGCTTTTTTCTTTCCTGAATCATTGTTTTTAGTCAGATTTTCTTTAGGAGTAAAGGTACATTTTACACTCCTGAAATTCAAAATGATATGAAAATTGAAAAAGAAAATGTAACTCATTTGGAATCAAAAGCTTAACCTGAATTACTATTTATGATCTTTACTCCACTTATTGTGAGTATCCACAAATTTTTGCTGCAGAAATGTTAAAGTTTGATTATACAATGCTGCCCAGACTCAGAGACATCCATAATATATGGCAAATGCCTCACATCACATTTAGGAAATGTGAAAAAAAACCTGAAGCCTATCTAGTCCTAAGGACTTGGATAAGATATTGTAGACCTTAATAGTCATTTCCATTCTGAGAGCTTCTGGGCAATTACTAAAATTTTGTGGATACTAATTCTTTATGGTAATTTTTATTAGGGTAACAATGTGTGTTGTGTTCAAGAAGTCACCTTGAGCTAATTTTTCTGGATATCTACTTCATTGGTAAAGTGTTTTCTATTTTGATGAAAATCAGGGTATCATTTAAAATGTCCAAATTATATTACTGACCATTTAAATAAGAAGAATAAAAAGCCATAGGTTCATAAAAACTAAGAAAAAACATTTTGTCTTTATTAAAAAGTAAATGGCACCCTGGCTGGTGTAGCTCAGTTGGTTGGGAGTGTTCGATAAACTGAAAGGTGGTGGGTTCAGTTCCTGGTCAAGGCACATGCCTGAGTTGTTGCCTGTTTGGTCTCAGGTTGGGGTGCCTGTTTCTCACATTGATGTTTTTTTCCCTCTCTCCCTTTCCCTCTCTCTGAAATCGGTGGGCGTGTGCTCAGGTGAGGAGATAGGTAGGTAGTTGGATGGGTGGGTGATATATAAAAACTGAATGGTTACAAAGCAGCTATCCAGAGAATTTTGAGATACGGGATTAAGCAGGAAAAAATTGGAAATGGTTCTTTTATTAACCCCCTTACATTTTGTAACAATTCTTAATAAACCAAATAGTAATTTTCTGTTGCTTGGCTCTCCTTGTGGACTTGTGTCATTTAGTTAGTGTGCATAGTCTTGGTGGGAGTAAAGTCTACAAATTGTAGCAGAGAAATTTACTTAAACCTATGTACATTCATAATTTGAGGACCCCATTGACAAAGTAACTTTGATGGATTGGAGAGATGATTTCTTATTAAAATACTGTATTTTACATGTCTTTTTTTGTGTCAGGTTTCTCCCTATGATTTCTTTCTAGTGACTGTACCATTGCTCTCCCCATAGCTATTACTTAAGAAGATTGGCTGAGTTGCCCTGCCTAAGTTTGAATCTTGCTCCTCTCCTTGTTAGCTTTGTGACTTGGCAGTATTACGTGACTTGTCTGCATCTAACCCTTCTGCCCTGTTATAAAATAGGAACAGTAAAAATAATTACTACATCATAGGGTGGTTGGGAATATTAACAAAAAATACATGTGATGTGTGCATAATACTGCTTCCTAGTAAGCACTCAGTAAATGCTAATAACTGCTATCATCTTTTTCTTTCCAAACATGCTTGCTGAGAAATCACAACTATACTGTCTCTTTTATACAGATTATTGGGATCTTTCCCATATTAGATTGCTGGTGGCTTTTCAGTGGATATTCAGTATGTTCATAGCTAGAGGATTTGATTTTAAGACATAGTAGTGTTAGAAACAGTTCATCTTGGTAATGTTTACACAAAGGCAGGTAGAAGTTATGTGAAGACTAGAGTTTATTCTTCTCTCATAATTTTCTTTGGTGGTGATGGTAACTTAAAAATAACCCTCCTTGCACTAATTTGTGTACATGGTGCTTTGTAACTCAAGTGGGCTTTCCATATATAAGAATTCATTGAGATCAGGCTGCTTTGAAAGAACTATATGTACTGCCCCATCCAGAACAGAGCTTTATAGCAGATTTCCTTGAAAGGTAGATTGTTTCCCACACTTCCAGCCACTGAATTGTGATAAATGCACAATCATGTTACATATCCCTATAGTTCTGCATTGTTACTTGTCTGTATTGCCTTAGCTTTAGCTTTGTTGTCAGCACCTGTTTTAAGAAAGGTAGCTTTCCTTATGACCATGCATATATAAATTGTTTTCAGAAGGAACTTGTTTTGAAAATGAAATGTTACATAAATTAGAGGTATAACAACAAAATCAGGTAGTAATATTAGGCACAAGTATGTTAATAAAAATGAACACTCATCCTGGACTATTATATATATGGAAGAGAGGGGTTTTTTGAGTTCTTAGTTTCCACTAAACAAAAAAAGGTATGTGTTTAGGCAGGATTTTGAAAGGTTTTTTTTTTTATCCTGAAGGTGAGTAAATGGCATTATTTGTCCTTAGCATTGATTATGTAAACCCATGCTGAAATGAATGACTTCAGGCCTTTAAAATCGGGTTGGCTATCCTAACAAAATTTTGGAGCCGCTCATTTAAAACTAGAATTACTACTGAAAGTAATTTCTAATAAACGCTATTGTAAAAAGTGCCCATTACATTAGAAAAATAATATATGTGTGTAGGAGGCTTCCTTAAAACTTAATTACAGAAACACTAAAGCTTTACCTAAAAGTATTGATTTTATTGAAATTATATGGGATTATGGTGTTTATTTTAAAAAATCTTAAGATATTGGGGTATAAAATGTTACAAAAAGGCTAGGAATTACAACTTTAGTGGTGAAGAAGACAAAAATACATACCCTTAATACCTTGAAAAATGTCATAAGTATATCATCAGTGCATAATTTTTGTTTAGGATCCAAATTTGTTATTAAAGTTTCCCTTATTGACTGTGATAAGAGTATAAAGTATTTCAGTCCCCATAATACTAACTAGAAGGGATTTTGGGGATAATTGTAAATCATCTAAGAAGTAATATTTGCTGTAAACTTTTAAAATCATACTAATGAGACTCAGAATTTGCTTTAAGCATTTGAACTTACCAACGAACACTAAGGGAGTATCATTTTAAGGAACAAAAACTATGTAAGTGAGTAAAGAGTATTTCATTTGGGCTCTTAAATAAGAAATTTTAGTAAGCTATAAATCAGAAAAACTTGTTTGTTTTAATCTGTAAATAAACCATGTATTAAGTGAGTGAACGGCATATAGAAGTGTGCATAATAGTATCTTGGTTTTCTAATATAATTTGAAAGTTGCAAAATCTAATACCATTATTTTAAGATTTTAAATAAATCTTGTTTAGGTGGTAATTGCCTTCTTAATAGTGAACCTACATAAATTTACATAGTTCATGAAGATTCTCTTGTTTGTATTGTTTAGTTTGTCTCTGTTCTATTTTAGGTGATATTGGAAATTACTACTATGGACAAGGCCATCCTATGAAACCTCATAGAATCCGCATGACCCATAATTTGCTGCTAAATTATGGCCTATATAGGAAAATGGAAATATATGTGAGTATATGTTTTAGTAAATACTTAACACTCTTTTTTTTTTTTAACTACTATGAAACTTTATTATTCCCTTTGATGGAGGGCGTTTAACGGATGAAAAGGTCTGAAAGAAAATCAAAACTTAACTTTTTATTTTATTCGGAGAAAACTGAGAGTGTGAGACCTGTACTTCTGTTTTTCTGTTTCCTGCAACAATTTTAAAAATGGTTTTCCCTACCACAGGTTTTTACATTTCTGGAGACTAACTTTATTTGACATACCAAATATTTTTGTTGCAATATTTGTTGGCCTGTCTATGCTGCTGAAGAGTTGATTTGGGACTCTTACAAAAGAATTACCCAGAAAATTGATCCTACATATATTTATTGGTATACAGAACACTGTCAGTGGATATGCAGAGTACAGAATAACATAAGATACAACAACTGCCTTAAATGTTTTTGTAGATAAAGATGAAAGTGTATACAGACAGATACATGACACAAAAATTCTTACCTCTTTGGGGAGAAAAGAAAGTCTTGAGCAGTGAACAGTATTAGGGAATATGTGAGTTTTTTTTCTTTGGGTGTAGACATTTAGAGAAGAAGAGGAGATGGATTAGACTTTCAGTCAGAAACCATTGGGGAAGAAGTGTGTCATACATAAATGCAACTGGGCTCTTCAGAACAAAGGTGATTTGGCTAGGCAAAGGAAAAGGAAGAAATTGTGAACGAAGACTTAAAATGCAGAATGAGCTGCATTCTGGAAGGTCATTGATAAAATCAGTGGGTACAGAGCAAGTATATGATGGAAAGAGAAAGCGTTTATGAAGTGGATTTGATTTTAATGAGGGCTGACCCATTTCTACTGAAAAAGTGATTAAGTCATAATTTGTGTTAGACCTGTGTAATGCTTTTAAAGACGTATGAATTAGCTTGGAATTTGTTTTGTTTTGGAAGACCTAGTTCTTTTGAGAGGACTGTTAGAGAAAATTGTGCACTTTATGTTTGATAACTCTGATATAACCAGTTGTAATTCAACATTTCTAACATTTATTTTTCTTCACAGAGGCCCCATAAAGCGACTGCTGAAGAAATGACAAAATATCACAGTGATGAGTATATCAAATTTCTACGTTCAATAAGACCAGATAACATGTCTGAGTATAGCAAGCAGATGCAGAGATGTATGTTTCTGTGTTAAAAGTATCTATTAGTATTAAGTATATAAATCAGTATTTTTAGAAGCTTATAATTCAAGTTACCCATATCTATGTATTTTTCCTGACCTAAAATACTGTTTTAATTATTATTGATGCGAAAGGTTAATGTAAAAATATTAAAGCACTTTTAAGAACAGCCTACTGAAGCCTTTTGATCTGCTAAACTGCCAAAGGGCTATTTGGATGTTCCTCTACCCTTTGTTTTGTTCCCATGTTGACTTCAGGATAATGGCTATTAGTAGGGAGCGCGCACTCTGCTGCTTTAAAAATATGACTATACTTTGGTTGACCTTACCTTGGTGTATATACCTCTTATCTTCTGTTTGGGTGGTTTAGTTAATCTGGAATGTAATACATGTACTCTGTTACTTCCCTGTGTTCTGATATTAATGAAGATTTTAATATTCTTTTACATAACATTCTCTTACGAAAAAGTGTATTACTACAGATTAGTTGGTTTGAAGGTGGAATGCAAACTTTTACCCTAAAATGATTGGGCCAGTGTCTGTTAAAGCTTGATAACTGGATAACATTCTCATCACTGTTTTTATTGATGGACTTCAGTGATGATTTTTAAAAATGAACAGTTAAGTAATAATAAATTGAGTGTAGTTGTGAGAAATCTTATTCGTAGAATTTCATATAATTTCTATTGTATATTTTATTTAATAAAGTGCTATAATGTAAATAAAATAGATCTATCTTTTCCCCCCCCCCCCCAGTGGATATTCAGGCTTAGATTAAGAGGTCATGAGTAGCCCTAGGGCAAATGAATTAACAAGATTGATTTAAAACGTACATAATACTGAGTTGTATGAAGATTATGATCATATCTGAGCAGTAAGAAACTAAAATTTATTCACTATGGTTCTAATAAAATTAAGGGTGTACAAAGCTATATATAGAAGTATGACTTACTGAAGGAGGTTATAATTCGGGGGGTGGGGACAACCTGAGAATGTGTTACGCATGCACACCCAGATCCCTTTAATTTGCTCAGTATGAAGGAACTAATATGTTTTGATGTGTCATGTATCTGTATGTTTTGTTTCCTTGTGCCTTACAGTACCCCTTCTATATCTTGGCTGTCATGAACCTAGTTAATTCTTAACATCTTTGAAGATCACTGTTAACCATGGGCATAGGCAACCAACTGTTACATCTTTTTAGTACTTGCTAAAAATACATTGCAGTTACGGATGTTCTGTCCAGTTAGTAGGTTTTTTGTTTTTGATTTTTTTTTTTTAGAGTAAATTATACAGCAATTGAAGTTACTTATAGAATCTCAATTTATTGTATGTTTGAGAAATGCCTAGAAAATTTTAAGTCCATAATTTAATGTAATAAAACCTAATAACTTTTATATTTTGAGAGATTTTGATTTCTTGTTAATAGAGCAGAGATAATCCACAAATAATCCTGGTGAGATTTGGTAGTGGTATTTCTGATATAACACTTTAGTTATATTGGATAAAATGATAAATTATATTTTTAAGTTGCAAACTTTATATTAGTACTATGATACGTGTATGTTTTATGGTTGCATCAAATAAAAAAAGTATATGTAAGAAAAGGCTTTTAGTAATTCACAGAATGGATTGAAATCAATGAAATCATCTTTCACAGTTAACGTTGGAGAAGATTGTCCAGTGTTTGATGGACTCTTTGAGTTTTGCCAGCTCTCAACTGGTGGGTCAGTTGGTAAGTATCCTGATTCGGTTAGACTTAAAATGGATTTACACTTTGTGTGTCTCTTTTGGGTTATTTGTTTAGCAAAAGTCCCCCATGTTTTATGATCATAATCACTCGAAGGTTAGGTGTTTTTTTTTTTTTTTGCGTTTGTTTTTTACTTTTCAGTTTCTTACTGCAATTCCATTCACGTACAGACTTCTTTTTCCTTCCTCTCTTCTAGCTACCATTGTTGCTACCACTTTCTATATATGCTCTTATTTAATCATTGCAACTGTAGGATCATATTTATCTAAGGAGAAATTGCTGACTATTAGAGTTCTGAACAATGATTCTTGCCTTTTATAAAAAGTCTTGGTTTACGTATGGCATACCCTTTCCTATAGGTCTTTTGTCTAGGTATGTTAATTTCTAATTTAAAACATTTAAAAAATCTATCCCATCTTGATTCTTAGCTGGGGCTGTGAAGTTAAACCGACAACAAACTGATATGGCTGTTAATTGGGCTGGAGGATTGCATCATGCTAAGAAATCAGAAGCATCAGGATTCTGTTATGTTAATGATATTGTGCTTGCCATCCTTGAATTACTAAAGTAAGTTAATTTGTGTTGATATTTTTCCTGTGAAAAAGTAGTTTAATTAAAGCAATAAAAATACAGCTTTTTAAAAAGACATCAAGTAAACAGGTTGAAAATAGTTAATGGTGAATCTTTGATGGGTTTATTATACATCATTGTAGAAATAATAGGAAATTTGCCCAACTCTTGGATTGTTAAGAATGAGAAATGCATAATAAATGTCTAAAACTCCCATTAGATACCCTTTTAAAAAATATTAGCAGTAGTTTGGCAATTTAGATTTGAGTTACAGTTTCAAGTAATGAGATATGACATGACCTTGGGAAGTGTAAGTTCTAAAATTTTGTAAGTTTTAACTTTTGATGGCAAATACTTGAAACCTGTGTTAAAGAAAATTTGGTTACCTATTGAATTAAATGTTGATAACAGCCTAGCTTCAGTAGAATGGGGCTCTCTGTTCTCTAAAAATGAATAATGTTATCTCTTGAGTTGCTAAAGGAGTTAAAGTTGTCCTTGACTACTGCTTGAGCGAGATCTCTATAAAGGTACATGTGAATTTGGAGTTACTAAGTTAGATTTTTTTTTTTTTTTTTTAACCATTAGCAGTTGTAACACATCTGAGCAGATCCCACTTCATATTGCAGTGAATCAGTGTTTTCTCACTTTTGAATGTGTTGCTTGTAGTTATTCCACACATACTATTTATAGAGGCTGATTTTTCAGTCAAAGTTTTGTCTTGACTCCTCAAATCAACAACTGGGCCGTGTCAGTTGACTAATTAAGAACCCAGGAAAACGACTTGAAATTTTGCCTTGTTTTTAATTCACTATTGATGTTGGTACCATGTCTTCATCTCTGAGCAACAGTTCTTGTTTACATGCTAATAGTCTTAAACAAGCTTAATTTTATTTTTCTGAACACATTTCTTAAATTGGTGCAACCAAACATGATTTAATTGACTGTTGGTTAAATAGTTTATAAGCCACTCAAACTTTTTGCTCACAGCTTTATTTTTATGAAGAAATTGTGCTATGATGCGATACTCTGTTTTTTATGTCCTAAGGTTTCTGAATATTGCTTTCCTTTGAGTTAAGAATGTTCTTGAGTACCTAGTCTGGTAATGTCAGTTTATATTATTATCTTTTTACACAGCTATAGTATCATTGTAAACTAAATACAGTGCTCTGCCATCTAATTCAGTAATAATTCTCACTTCACTGTGCTTGAAAAGATGATATTGGAGGTTCTTTTTCCTTTTTTCTTGTTTTGACATGGGTATGCACTGGTAATAAGATGTCACAGTTTGTGATACATGTAGCTCTTAAAATGCATTGGAGTTATAACTGCATTACTGGGATTTGTAGTGTTCCAAGCAGCACTCTGAATTGGTAAGAGTATCACATGTGGTTTCTGTCATCACAACTCAACTCTGCAGTTGAAGCACAGAAGAAGCCCTAGACAGTACATAAACAAATGAGTATGGCCATGTTTCAATAACATTTTGTTTATGGGCATTGCAATTTTAGTATCATTTTTTCATTACATATCATAAAATTTGCTTGTTTCGATTTTATTTTTCAATCGTTTAAAAAATGTAAAAACTTCTTATCTCAAAGGCTGTACAAAAGAGGCCATTGGCCAAATTTGGACTGTGGACTAGAGCTTGCCAAACCCTGTTTTATAAGATTGAATATTTACTAGAGAGATGTTTTAAAGTAACAGTCTTAAAAATGGCATAATGTTCAGTTGTTAATATAAAAAAACTCATACTTACTATGTTTTTAAAGCACATAGAAAAGGACAAATTTCACAGCAAGTATATTTCTCACCTAGATAGAGCCTAAAGTGAGGATTTAAAGGTCTGAGGGTCAAATTGTAAGTTCAGATGTTTGAATGATCTCTTAGGGTGGAATTAAAGTAAGAAAAGGGATTAAGCATTCTGGAATTCAAGAGCTCAAAAGTCCATTGTGGTTCTTCCTATATTAAAACTTTTAAATAACTTAGTATGGCTTTCTTTTCAGGTATCATCAGAGAGTCTTATATATTGATATTGATATCCATCATGGTGATGGTGTTGAAGAAGCTTTTTATACAACAGATCGTGTAATGACTGTATCATTCCATAAATATGGGGAATACTTTCCTGGAACAGGGGATTTACGGGTAAGACAAAATTCTGTCTGGATAAATTTGAGATTAATTTAGGAGGCTAATAATCCTGTGCTTAAACTAATATTTTTCCTAAGTCACTAATTTGAAGCTTATATGCAGAATTGAATCATTTTATATGCTATAACATCTGCTAGAACTCTGTTTTCCTTAGTATAAGCAAACTTTGAAAAAAAACTTAATCTTTATTGTATTTTTTCCATTACCATTTAGCTCCCTTATACACCCCTCCCAGCAGCAATCACCATACTCTTGCCCATGTCCATGAGTCCTTTTTCCTTTTTGCTCAATTCCTCCACCCCTTAACTGTGCCCCCCCGCCACCCAGATAAGCAGAGTTTAATGAGAACTTAAGGACATTTCTTTTGCTCAACTATTTTAGGTTAAGTAAATGTCTTTGAACATCAACAAAGCATGCAGCTGTTTTCTTGATGTGCATAGTCTGACCCTTCAGAATGTACTTACTGGTAGCCGACGTTGGTATTGATTAGAAAGTTGGTAGAATAAAATAATTGACTAATGAGTCTTTTAGGTTCTTACACTGCCCTCCTTTTATGATTGGCCTTGATTTAATAGGTCTAATTTTAATATCTTTTTTTCTTAGGCTTAGGAAATTTGTTGTAGATAGAGAAATACCATCATTTACCTTGTTTGCCTCCTACATTAAGTGCATTTATTTTTATTATGTGTCTGTTTTCTTCTTTGATTTGGTACTCTTGTATTTTATGAATGTAAAAACCGCTGGTTAAATCCTGTCGCGAACTTCCTGATGTTCTTTCTGCTTCACTAGTTGTTTTTTTTTGTTTGTTTGTTTTGTTTGTTTTTAACTAAACCATATACATGTTGAAGTTTAATTCAGAAATGTAAACAGCTGTTTTTAATTCAGCCTGGATTATATGGAACATTTATCTTAGTATAGCATTTAACATTAATTCTAAACTATTCTGTTAAAGTTCTTTTTTCAAATTGATACATCGTTACAGTTTATTTAGCAACTGTAAGTTTAATATGGCCTTAAAGTATTCTGTAAATGGGTGACTATTTCTCCACAAGGTGATGTTTTTTCAGTAATAGTTGTGGTGGTAAAACCTTTTTTTTACTTATATAAATAGGTTAATTATTTAATTCATTTCATTTTCAGTTATGTGGCTTTTAAAATTGCAAATTTATATTTTCAGTTCCTTGCCAATTAGTTCCCTTGATGCCTTTATTTTATTTTATGGACCCACTTGGTTTTATTTTATAGACCCACCCGGTGGTTCTCAAAGTATGATCCTTAAACTAGCAAAAATCAGCATCTGCTGGGAACTTGTTAGAAGCACATATTGTCAGGTCCAGAAACTCTGGGTTATTCTGCACACTCACGTTTGAGAACCATTGCTCTAAAGCAGTAGAACTCATTTGCTTACAGTCATTGCAGCCCTATAGAAATTAAGGGGGTAAAAAGGCTTCTCAGCTTTAAGCTTAAGGAAGGATAGTGTCTTTGTAGTAATTCTAATTAATCTCAGAAATGGCAAATGTGGGGGTGTCTCTTAATTTTTGACAGTATTCTTTTGATTATTTAAAGTTGTTGGAAATGCATGTTTTAAAAAATTTGAGAATGACTGTGAACATCTCTTCCTCACTAAGATTTTATACTCACTACATAAAAGCCATCATACTTTCTTCCTTTTGGATATTATATGGTGTCCCCCAAATTTTTTAAGGAAACTAAATCGAACATTAGATTGTATATGTAGTTGTATTTGGATTTTTGTGAAACTTAAGTCTATCTTTGGGTGTTATTTTCATGAACATTCCCTTTTTTACATGATAATTTATTGTAGATCAGAAAGATAGGCTACTTTTAGCTTAGGTCATTGTTAAAACCCTGGTTGCATTTATTGGCTCAGTAGTGTCTAGGTGGAATAATAGAAACAAAGGTGTGATAAAAGTAGCGGTTGTGGAGTAAGAATGAAAGGGATAAAGTTTGGTCCAACAAGGACAATGGCTCTTAGTTGCCAGCCTAGTGTGGTAACTGCTGATCAACTTACTGTAGAAGGAGGGGGACTGCAAAAAAAAAAACAGAGTTAACTTCTGGAGGACAGGCCCCTTTTAGTAAAGGCTTTCCCCACTCGGTGAGGGTTCTAAGAACCCATATGAATCTCTGTACCAGCTGACGTTGTTATGAGAGACTGCGTTCGGCCTCAGTGAATTTTCTTTTTTAAAGACTCAACGCATTTGCCCATTTCATGATTTATGAACATACCTGCCTACATCACACTGAGTGTTCAGCAGTTTTTGACTGAAAATGGCATGACCCCTATGCCCCACCCTCCCTATTCACCTGAGCTCACCCAAAGTGAGTTTTTTTTGTTTCCCTGGATGAAAAAAGTCCTCAAAGGAAAAGGTTTTGCTAATATGGAAGAGGGGAAACTAAAAACAGCAAAAGCCCTAAAAGGCATCAAAATTGACGAGTTCAAACACTTTTTGAGCAGTGGAAAAACCATCTCGATAGGTATTCTGCGTGAAATGGGGAGTACATTGAAGGTGACTGAAGTTTCAACGTGTAAGAATAAAAACACATTTTTTTACATTTAAGAATGGACACACAATTTTTTATAAATAAATTCCAGGTGTTTTTAGCACATACACTCCCCGCACCCCACCCCCATACTTGATGTCGAGTATATTCCAACTGTGTTTTTAGTGCAGGGGTCTAGATTCACAGTAGTTTATCTACATTTATATAGTTTTTATTTAGTTACATACAAAAATTTAGATTTCTTTAAGAAAAAGCATATGGGTGTAATTCCTCTTGCTTTTTCTTCATCGAAAGTTGGATCATTTAGGGTGGTAAACACACTGCAGTGTACAGATGATATGCTGTAAAATTGTGTACCTGAAAACTGTATAATTTTGTTGACCAGTGTCACCCCTGTAAATTCAATAAAAGGAATGTTGGGCCATAATCACACTAATATTGAAGGATAAAAGATGCTTTTCAAAAAAATGAATTCAAGCTAAAATCATTCCATGAGAGAGAAAGGAAATACAAAATGTTAATCCTAAAGATTCACATTTATTGAAATATTATAATTTAAAACACAAAGAATCAGTCTGCCCAGTCCAGTCTTTTGGTGGTCTTAAAGCACTGTTTTGTGGAAATGTTTCCTATCCCATATCTTGTAGGAATATATACATATATGTGTGTGTATATATCCATATATCTACACACACAGAAAGATTCTTATGTGCACACATGCATTACATACACAAATAAATATATATGTATGTATTGTGTGTGTGTGTGTGTGTGTGTGTGTGTGTGGCTGGAACCCAGCCATCAACTTTCTCCCCTTTGCTTCTTTTGAGAGGTATTAAATGCCTAGAGTGGTACTTAATCAACAAGTAGAAAAAAATTGTATTTCAAGCCTGAAGAACAGATAATTGATACTTCAGTCTGAAGCTATTAAAACCTCAAGAAAATCTGGGCTTTTCTTTAATCATACGTAAATTCATGCCAGGTTATGAGCCACAAGAGGGACTTTGTATTAGAGACAGTTGTCCCTCAGGGTTCTTTGGCTCCATATTATTTTCTATAGTTTTACTCATAACATTTTCTTACTCTGTTTATGATGAATTTCTTAGGCTAATGTAATATATAACTTTATATTTCCTTTACCTGTTTAACTCCCCAAAATAATCATTATAGGTTCCTTTCAGCTTTATAAGCAGTTTATAAATGTTAACATATGCACTTACTCTATTCTGTGTTATTTCCCTTCTCCAGCTACATGATGAAATCAGAACTAGTTCTTATTACCTGCTCTTTTAATCTCTCTAAAATGTTTTTAATAAATATGTCAAACTTTTTATTATGAAATATTCTCTAAGACCTATTTAACTTTCTATTTTAGGATATTGGTGCAGGAAAAGGCAAATACTATGCTGTCAACTTTCCAATGAGAGATGGTATAGATGACGAGTCATATGGGCAGATATTTAAGCCTGTAAGTATTATTATTTTAAAAATCAAAATGAATTTGAAAATCTTATTAGAGATAATAACATCTGTTATCTTGTACATAGATTATCTCAAAAGTGATGGAGATGTATCAACCTAGTGCTGTGGTATTACAGTGTGGTGCAGACTCACTATCTGGTGATCGACTTGGTTGTTTCAATCTGACGGTCAAAGGTAAGCAATTTAAAGGGTGATATGAGCCCTAGCCAAGGAACTCAGTTGGTTAGAGCATCCACCCAATATACCAAGGTTGCAGGTTTGATTCCTGGTCAGGGCATATGGAAGAATCAACCAGTGGAATGCATAAACAAATGAACAACAAATTGATGTTTCTCTCTCCGCCTCTCTTCCTCCTCCTTCTTTCCCTCCCTCTCTTCTTCCCCATCAAAATCAAAAAAATAAAAATTTTAAAAATAAAAATAAAGGGTGATAGTCCCACAACTACTGTTAATCTTGTTCCAGTAAGGTTGTGTTCAAGTCTATTTTTATATTATCAAGTTTATGTCTACATTTATACATGAATAATTTTATATTGCTTGTCGCTGTCTTAGCCAGGACAATTCTGTTTTCAGCATTTTTGGTTGATTCTTTTGGTCCTTGTATCTTTCTAAATAATACGCAAACTTTGTTACTTTTAATTGTTCATTTTAGCCTGTCTGTTCACTTCCTATTATGAAAAGAAATTTCGCTTTTCACTTTATTCCCAATAGGCACACACCCTTCTAATCCTGTGTCTCCCATTTTTACAATTATAATCTGGTGTTTATAACAGGACTTTGGTTATGGTATTCAGTGTTGACAGCATCATCAATAATGTTAAAGTACATTTCAGCTTATCAGTTTTTCTTTATTGGACAACTTGCTCTTGTCCAATTTTTCATTTACTTAATTTTCTCTATGTATTCCTAAATGGCTAGTTTCTAAGTATCTTCGTCTGTTCAGCTGCATCAAGTATCCTATCAGTTTAACCTTCTTGAAGAACTCTTTTTTTGATCTGGTCCTATTTGGGTGAATATCCTCTCTAGACATGGTTGAAGTAAGCTGCTCTTTGCTTCCCTGATGTGTTGGCTCTCCTGGTTGCTGTTTTCTCTGTCTCCCTCATAATTTTGTCTCTTGTTTGGTGGAACACATTTTCAAGTGGCTTCCTGAGAAAAGGTGTGTGGGTGGTTAGAAGATTACATTAATTCCAACACTTAAATTGATCAGGTGTTGAAATCAACGTATGATAGAAATCCAAACCAAAGTAAAAAAATGACCATTATGGAATGAACTTCTAGGGAATAACTGAAATTTTACCTTATCAGTTTTTAAAATCGTTGCGACTTCTGGCCAAGGTGGAGGCATAGGTAGATACACTGCCTCCTTGCACAACCAAAAGGACAACAGCAAATTTAAAAATAAAAAATAACCAGAACTGCCAGAAAATTGAACTGTATGGAAGTCTGATAGCGAAGGAGCTAAAGAAGAAACAATTCAGACTGTGGAGACGGGCAGCCAGGATAGAGAGGACGTGTGGTAAGGCACCTGCTGGAGGACCAAACAATCCCACATTTGTGAGAGGATAAACTGGGAGGAACAGCTTGGGAGCGAGATTGCACAATCCAGGGTTCTAGTGCAGGAAAGGAAAGCCTCAAAAACCTCTGGCTGTGAAAATATGTGGGGGTTGCAGCAGTGGGGAGAAACTCCCAGCTTCACAGAAGAGTCTGCTGGAGGGACTCACAGGGTCCTGAAATGTGCACAAACCCACCCACCTACCCACATGGGAATCAGCATTAGAAGGGCCCAATTTGCTTATGGGTAGCAGTGGAAGTGACTGAAAGCCAGTGAGAGCCCAGCAAGCAGCATTGTTCCCTCTCGGACCACTCCCCCACGGACAGTGTCACAATGCAGAAACTTGGGTTGCCTCACCCTGGTGAATACCTAAGGCTCCGCCCCTTCCAGTGTAACAGGTTTGCTGAGACAAAGAAATATTGCCCAAATGAAAGAAAGAATCAAAGCTCCAAAAATAGAACTAAGCAATGAAGAGAAAGCCAACCTCTCAGATGCACAGTTCAAAAGAGTGGTAATCTGGATGATTATGGAATCGGTTGAATATGGTTGCAAAATTGAGGAAAAAGTGAAGGCTATGCAAAGTAAAATACAGAGAAATATACAGGGAACCAACAGTGAAGGGAAGGAAACCGGGGCTCAAATCAATGATTTGGAGCAGAAGGAAGAGATAAACATTCAACCAGAGCAGAATGAAGAAACAGGAATTCAAAAAAAAATGAGGTGGGGCTTAGGAACCCCAGGACAACTTTAAACGATCCAACATCCAAATCATAGGGATGCCAGAAGGCGAAGAGGAAGAGCAAGAAATTGAAAACTTATTTGAAAAAATAATGGAGAACTTCCCCAATCTGGCCAAGGAAATAGACCTCTAGGAGATCCAGGAAGCTGTGAGAGTCTCAAAAGAAGTTGGACCCAAGGAAGCACACAGCAAGAAACATCATAATTACATTACCCAAGATTAAAGACAAGGAGAGAATCTTAAAAGCAGCAAGAGAAAAGGAGACAGTTATCTACAAAGGAGTTCCCGTAATACTGTCAGCTGATTTCTCAAAAGAAACCTTGCAGGTCAGAAGGGGCTGGCAAGAAGTTTTCAAAGTCATGAAAAACAAGGACCTACATCTAAGACTACTCTATCTAGCAAAGCTATCATTTAGAATGAAAGGGCAGATAAAGTGCTTCCCAGATAAGGTCAAGTTAAAGGAGTTCATCATCACCAAACCCTTATTATATGAAATGTTAAAGGGATTTATCTAAGAAAAAGATCAAAACTATGAATAGTAAAACGGGAGGTGGAAGGGGTAGAATGGGGGAAAAGGTACAGGGAATAAGTAGCATAAATAGTAGGTACAAAATAGGCAGGGTGAGGTTAAGTATAGGAAGTGGAGAAGCCAAAGAACTTAAATGTACAACCCATGAACATGAACTAAGGGGGGGAAATAAAGGGGAGGGAAAACATGAGATAACTGTAATAGCATAATCAATAAAATACATATTTAAAAAAATCATCATGGATATTCTACATGATTTTGGAGTTGTTTTCCTTGTGATATTTTTGGTAACTAGTTGATGTTCTGCTTTGAATTCTCTCACAGATGTGAAGAGTTGTCTCTCAAATAGAACTTTTCCGAGAATGACTATTGCCTAAATGTAATTAAATAACTAAATATAGACATTAAAGGCTTTTTGATGTTAATACTTGCTACCATACCAGGCAGCATTAGTTATGGTATGATCTATTATTATTCTGCTTTTTCAGGTTGAACTATACTTTAGTTACCCCCTCTCTTGGTAGGTTAATGATACCCAAATAGCAGTTGTTTTATATTATTGAACTTATGTGTTGATAACCATCTTTTGCCTCAAAATTCATATGATCTCCCAAAAATTATCTACTGAATCTACTCTTAAGTATTAACTGTCAGTTTTTCTGCTTATGTCCTTGAAAGTTCTCAATGCTTTCATACTTTAATAATTATAAACTGCAGCATTTTATTCTTATAATAACATATATATTTTTTAACTGATAGGAAGGATTTCATTTGTATCAAGCATATAAGGAGATTTGTAATCCCAAATCTTAAACTTGAGTGTTAACTTTTTCCACTGCCATTCAGATTTCTCAAGTCTGCTAAAGTCAGTTACTTCTTGTTTGTTTCCTTCCTGCCTTCATTTATGTTGTTACAGTTGTGTTCTGTCTCAGTCTTCATTTTTATAGATTTTAGCCTTTAAAAAAATCCCTTTATAGTCACTTTTATGAGGTTTTGAAAAGTAAATTTCTTTGTTTAGCCAACTATTCATACAAAGGAATCTGTAAGGTAACTTCATGTTTTGTCTTTAAAAACACCCAAGTGGTTACTACCTGTTATAAGAAAGCCATGTTTTTCTAATAGCAGTAATAAAAATTGGGTTGTGAATTATAAAATAAAATACTGAAGAATACTTAAGATACTCACAGTATATAATTATAAGAAACAAGATTACTAAACTTTAACTCAGAGGGAGTTGAAAGGGATCGTTTTCTAAAAAATAACTTCGGATGATGGAGTTTTATGCAGTTTATCTTTCCAAATATTTTTTTAACAGGCGTGGCTTTATTCTGTAATTGAAGGATCTTTTTCTTTATTTAAAGATTGACTTAAGTCCTGAATGATAATATTCTAAAAAGTTATTAATAACTTGTAATTGATTAAATTATGACATTTAGCAAAGGGAAATACTATGTTTTTATATTAGGTTTACTTTATATTCAAATTTATACTCATAAAAATTTGTTGAAGTTTTTAATAGTAATAGGTACTAATTTTATAATCTTTAGATAAGAAAATTATCCATAATACCACTACCTAAAGATAACCTACAATTAAAAATTGTTAGTCTTCCATTGTGCATAATGTTTATTGTTACTTGATTTATTTCCCCCATGTGGTCTCACATGAAGAGAACATCTTCATGTCACATAACATCTTCCTGTGTTTTAATAAAAGTGTCATGTTTACATTTTAATCTTAATATAGGTGTATATTTGACTTTTCTATCAGGAACACCTGCTAAAATAACCAGTTTGTCTTACTGAATTTTGTGTACCATTGTGAAAGGTGCTTTGATAAAAAGTCTCAGACTAGAAATTTCTTGAAATTTTTACATGTTATTTAGAAAAGCTGTTTTGGTTAAAATTTCATTTGTGTGTTTTGCTATCTTTTTAAAATTTTATTTTTCAGCTATAACAATGCACACTTATTGCCACCCACATCTCTTTGTCGTAGGTCATGCTAAATGTGTAGAAGTTGTAAAAACTTTCAATTTACCATTACTGATGCTTGGGGGAGGTGGATACACAATTCGTAACGTTGCTCGCTGTTGGACATATGAGACTGCAGTTGCCCTTGATTGTGAGATTCCCAATGGTAAGTATTCATATTATGATACCTTTTTTGAATGAACTGTCAATGTATAGAGATGGATGGATGGATGGATGATTAGATTTTAAAACCACGTGAATAGGAGAGCAGTCAGCTAATTAATTCACTTTATGTTCACTTTTAAAAATTTTCTTTGGAAATATTTCTCAACTTGAATCTGGGTTTTTATGCATGGATTTGGGTGAAAACTGAGCTTACAATATTTAACTTTATTTCATTGTTTTTAATAGAATTGCCCTATAATGATTACTTTGAATACTTTGGACCAGACTTCAAACTGCATATTAGTCCTTCAAATATGACAAACCAGAACACTCCAGAATATATGGAAAAGATAAAGTAAGACATCAGTGAATTGTTTTCATACGTATTTGCTGTAGCTTTAAGAACCTTTAGAATACCAAGTGCAGTAAGTTGTTTTAGCTTTATTTATAATTCTTTTGTCGTTTTCAAAAGCATTTGAAGCCGTAAGATTATTGATTTCTTTAATTTTTTAACATAATGGAAAATATATGGGCTTCGTAGCTCAAAAATATTTTAATCTCTCAGTTAAAATCAGTTTTTAATTTGCAAGGGGTACTGTACATTTATACCCTTGCTTTAAATGAAAGTGAAATGTATTTTCATTAAAACATTTCAAAGCTTTGTCTCAAAGAATGAAGTGTTTAGAGAGACATGGTAGTACACAGGCCTGGATTTGTGTTTTCTCTACCATGTACTAGCTCCATGACATTTGGTAAGTTAATTTGCCTTTAGGCTTATATTTCCTTACCAATGAAATAATGGGGGGAGAAATAGTACCTATAATGTAAATTTTGAGGATTAAATGGGTTCATAATATATAAAGAATCAGTGAATTTGTTACTTAGTCATAGGTTAGCTAAATAAAAGATGAAATTTTTGGTCTAATGTTTCCTCTTAACATTTAAAAGGAACTTGAAAGAAAATGAATTTTGTCTAATAACTGTATGTGTGTAATTTAGACAGCGATTATTTGAAAATTTACGCATGTTACCTCATGCACCTGGTGTCCAAATGCAAGCTATTCCAGAAGATGCTGTTCATGAAGACAGTGGAGATGAAGATGGAGAAGATCCGGACAAGAGAATTTCTAGTAAGATAATGTCTGGATGTGTATTCTATTACGTTTTACTGGTTTATTAAGATAACACTGCAAACTGAAGGTTTTAGTTGCCCAAGAACACAGTGGGTTGTGTTTCACTGGCATGCTATTATTTTTGTCTCTTTTCCATTTTTAATCTTAAATAGTTTAACTTGAGACTGATTTGAGTGTCAGCAATTTCAGTTAAATGAATATATATACACATACATACGTGTGTGTGTGTGTGTGTGTGTGTGTGAGAGAGAGAGAGAGAGAGAGAGAGAGAGAGATCAGACGTTTCCAAAAACTACCCTCTTATGTATATTTGGGTAGAAACTGGAAAATAAAGCATTTCTTTAGAGTGAGTTGAGTAGTCTGAAGGACTTTCTGTTTGATTCTGTGGTCTCATTTCCCTTAGTAGAAGCACTAGATTTACAGCCTAATGGTATGCTGTTGGTATAGAAATTGACTTACTTGGTATAACGGTATATTTATTTTGTCTACTTCCCCTCTCAGCTCTGAATAAAAGGTTACTTTTTGACGTCATCCTTGCTTCCTATTAGAACAGGTTTTTTCTCTGTAAAGTGTTTTTTGAGGTCCCCAAATATTTTTCATGTTTCTTTGAATTATTCCTATATCAAAGCTAAATTTTAGAATTTAGCAAACTATGCATTCAGTTCTAATCTTAAAATCACTAAGTATCTGTTATTCTGTACCTTTAAATGTAGTGGCTGATTAATACCCTTGTACAAGAGCATGCTCTAATGATTGTAAAACTTATGACTACTTTTGTCAAACCTGTAAAAATTTTTATATTTCAGTTCGAGCATCAGATAAACGGATAGCTTGTGATGAAGAATTCTCAGATTCAGAGGATGAAGGAGAAGGAGGTCGTAGAAATGTGGCTGATCATAAGAAAGGAGCAAAGAAAGCTCGAATTGAGGAAGACAAGAAGGAAACAGAGGATAAAAAAGCAGGTGAGTTTTTTTTTTTCCTGGTAAATGTGTTTTAAAATTGTAATTTTTTAAAAAAGTGAACTGCTCTGCTTTTATGAGATCCCCAGGTCAATTAGACAATATTGGAGGTGTAGGGTGCTACATGACTTTTTCCCATGTAAGTGATGCTTAGTTCTTAACTGTCTTTTATTTAGAGCTATCTAAATGTTATTAATCACATTTGCTTTTATAACATAGGAAACCTTATTGCCTTCTCTTGGTTTATATGGGCTTAACTTAGTGAACGCTGTACTATGATACAGATTGGGTAAGGGAGAAGACAAGTGGTTATAGATTCATTTACAGTCTGCGAGTAAAACTAAAATTTAAGATAATTTTTAAATCCCTGAAGTTTATTTGCTGTGAATAAAACACAAGAAGAGTTGCGTTATCCTTAGAACAGTTTGATCATTTTGGAAAAGCTCAGAGAATAGACTTTTTTCAGAAATTGTTTGAAGAAAACAAAAACTAAGGAAAGATAGGAAGGAGATCTTCATACCATATCTTGACATACCTAGTTCCATTCTTTCACTTGTGGATTTACTCCACTATGTACTGTTGTCTCCAATTTTAAAATTTTAACTTCCCAATGTATTACAATTATGGCTTCAGTATGCTCTTCTGTTGTGATTGACATCCAGAAATTCTAGTTGTGATTGAGGTAAGGAGGACTTGAGCTTTAGCTGTAGGATTTTTCTAGTATTTTTCCTTTTTCCTTACTGTCAGTGTGTTGTCTTATCTGTCCTTTTTTTTGTGTTTCTTCTCTTTTTCAAATCTTTTTTTCTTCCAAATGGGAAAGTGGACACACTAGGGTGTTTGTCTTTCATTGTTGTATTAGCTAAAAATGACAGTACCTTTTGATCTGGCTTAATGACCTGGTACTAGATTAATTTTAGCTCCTCCACAGTTGTATTGCTGATATTGATACTTTCTTAACTTTAAAAAAATGATTTTTAATATTCTTATACGGCTTTGTAATTGTTAAAATCCTTTGGTCTACAGATAAAATATTACCATAGGAAACTTTTTAAAAAATTTAATTTGGGGCTGTTCCTTTTCTTTCCTTCCCCAGTTCTGTTTTTGACTTTTTAAGTTTACATATCCAGAATAAAGCCAGAAGTCAAAACAAATGTTAATGTCCATGTTGCCACATGTTTGTATTCTAGCTGAGACCAATCCTCTGAAATGTCTGTAGAATGCTTAACAAGCAATATTTATAATTTATAATATCTTTATTATTAGGTCCTTGCCTCACAGTTTGGTGTATTTGCTTATTTAAAGAAAATATTCAGCCCTGGTTTGTGTTGCTTGGTGGATCAAATGCCAACCTGTGAAACAAAACATGGCTGGTTCAATTCCCAGTCAGGGCACATGCCTGGGTTGCGGGCCAGGTCTCTAGTCGGGGGCATGTGAGAGGCAACCACTAGAAGTTTTCCTCCCTTTTTTACTCTTTCCCTTCCCCTCTCTTTAGAAAACAAAAACATTAAACTTAATAGGAGTAATTTCAATTTAAAAAAATAAAAGAACGTTCGGGCAAATTTTTTTTTAGCATTCTTGAATTACTACCATTACTCCTACCATTTCATTTCTGTTATTATATTAAAGTTTCAGTATTTATAATGAGGGTTAAAAACAAATGATATAAACAATAGGATTTAGCCTTTCCTGTGTCTTTGGGCTCATCTTACCTAATTCTCCCCTCTTCCAACAGTACTCCAGTCACATTGGTCTCAGTTCTTCCCACCAACCTGCTAATTCCTTCTCGTATCAAAGTTCTTTTTTGGTTTTTGGTTTTTTAATATTTTTAAAAAGATTTTGTGTATTTTTAGAGAGAGGGGAAGAGAGAGAGAGAAACATCTGTTGGTTACCTCTCATGCGTCCCAGCCGGGGGTCTGATCCTGCAACCCAGGCCTCTGCTGGAAATCATCCAGCAACCCCTCACCCTTCAGAATGATGCCCAACTAACTGAGCCAGACTGGCTAGGCCGTTTTGTCAAATTTCTTTTAAGCTTTCCCTCTGTTTAAGATATTTCTCCCCTTTTTCACCCAAGAGCCATTCTTCAGGAAACTTTTAAATGCCACTTTGTGTAACCTCTCCTGATTGCCTAATGCTGTGTTCATGTCTCTTGGATTAACTTCATAGCACATACACCATCTGTAATACAGTGATCCCACAGAAGCAAACCTTCTAAGAGGACAAGGACTATGTTATTATATTGATACCATGAACCTCTGTCATTTAGCGTAGCACCTAACACAAAGCCTATTCAGTTACTGAATTCATAAATGGTAAGATTATATATGACAGCTTTTTATACTTTATAAGTAAGGTATACTTTAAAATTGTTATATTTCAGAAGTTATTTATATTTCAAAATAGGTTTTAATCTCTTCTAATTTTTGTTTATAGACGTTAAGGAAGAAGATAAATCCAAGGATAATAGTGGTGAAAAAACAGATACCAAAGGGTAAATTATATTACTTATCTAGTCATTTTTATGTACTATACAAATAATAGACACAATTACTTGGGTATGTATTCTTTTTAGAGGTACTAGGCTGAGCCTGAGAATACCAGTTATTTATATGAGATGCTCTGAATTTTAGTATGTTGGCACATAAAGACAACATATGCCATCTTAACCATCAGTTTATGTGTCATTTGTTTAGCTGCCCATCTGTCATTGATAGAGCTTGCCTTAAAAAAATCATGAAGATCAGTACTAATCAGTGTTGTAACTGAATAGTTTATATTCTTTTACATAATTTATCTGACACCTTTTTTTGCTATTAATTTTTGTACAGGCACTTAATGGTTTTTCGTGGTGCTTATCTATGTATAGGATTTCTTGCTGTTGTGAGATGGGTATATTTAAGAAACTGGACTTGGACTAGCATAACAGTTTTTTTAAAAAAAACATATGATTTTTATTGTCAGAAAGCTTATTTAACTGCTTGGGCACATATAATTTTGTGCTAGGCTTTATAGGATAACTTGAAAAAGATTATAAAACTACTAGAAATACTAAGATAGTACTCCAGATATTAAGTACTCCAGATATTAGGGCAGTATTATCAGCTTACATGTTTCTTGGCATGAGTGTGCAGGACCTGTATTTAAACTGAGATTATACAGTTTTAATATTTCATGTTGCCTTTTTTAACAGAGCCAAATCAGAACAGCTCAGCAACCCTTGAATTTGACAGTCTCTCCAATTTCAGAGAACATTAAAAAATGAGAAAATATTGGAAAGAAAAATGTTTCCTTTTTGAAGACTTCTGGCTTCATTTTATACTACTTTGGCATGGACTGTATTTATTTTCAAAATGGCTTTTTTTGTTTTTGTTTTTGTTTTACTTGGCAAGTTTTAGTGTGAGTTCCTAATTATGAAGCAAAATTTCTTTTTTCCACCATGCTTTATGTGATAGTATTTAAAATTGATGTGAGTTATTATGTCAAAAACTGATCTATTAAAGAAGTAATTGGCCTTTCTGAGCTGATTTTTCCATCTTTTGTAATTATCTTTATTAAAAAATTGTACTTGGATTGTCTTTTGTCTGTTTTTTTATAACATTAAATTCTTTTTCAGAGAGGAATGGCATAACCATTTCTGTAGAATTAGAAAACATGAGAGCTGAAAGATACTGATTACAACTTCAGAGACATCCATTTACTGTTTCTTCAGGAAAGAGTGTTGACAGTAATTATTTTTAATGGAATGGGAGTTCTGCCATCTTGTCCTTTATAGGTTAGCTAGTCAATATCAGTGAAGATTTGACACCTCATTATAATTACTTGTCTCTGTAATTAAAAGTACAAGCTATACAGTTGAGATACAGGCATTAACTTCGAGCTGAACAAAAGATTCCCAAAATTGGAAATGGAAGTTCTGAATTGAAATAAGAAATTCATAAACAGAAGGAACCTGTACTTGTATATAGACTCTGTAACGCCCAGTGTATACCATGCAGACAAGGAGTTACATGGTTGTTATTTGACCAGAACTTTGCTGTATTTATTTTAAGCAGATAAGTGAGGTAATTTCTAAGATGTACAAGGGGTGGGGGGAGGAAACATTAGGGACTTGCCAAAGTTAGTGAAATCTCTCTTTTTGTCCATATCCAAATTGATTATTTTGAGATAAAAATTATAGAATGCTAGAAGACAGATGAGTGAAAAATGATTATAAGCCCTGTTTTTGACAAGAGGTACTTCAGGGATTGACAAAAGTACCTGGACTTTTGTAATGAACAATCGTTCAACCACAGCCATCTTGATTTAACAGATGGTACCCTTTGGGCATGTGTCCTTGAAGTTTTTAACAACATAGGAGTTGAAAGCACTGCACTTTTCCATTTTAACTCCCCTCCTCTTCAGAAGCAACCAGTGTTCTGAAATTCATGCTTATCTTACCCGTATTTTTACTCGCTGCGTATCTGTCAGCATTTTAACCTTTATGACACTAGGAATTGTGGAACTGAGTCATATAAGGAAGTAGTGAAATGTAGTGTTTGTGAAAACATGGTATATATTTACATAAAACTAAAGCCTCAAAAGTGAAATTCATCCAGATCAGTTGGTACAAGAGTAATAAATACACTGAAACCAGCAAAATGGCAAAATAACCAGGTGATACCTTGAAGAATGGACCCCATTTACAATAGCAATCACAATTTCTAGAAGTAAAAATGTAAAGCTATGGTTCTGGTATATAATGAGAAAGATCAGTGCTACAGATGTTAAGAGAAATACCCTAATGGATTTGGGAATTCTGGGTAAAAATGAAATGTTTTATTAGAGAAAGATTATTCTTTAAATGGCACTGGAGTAATGTTTCATGACTTAAACCAGAAAAATCAAGTTAATTGAGTAAGGGAAGTTGAAACCATAGTACTAGGAACTGTGAGGCCTTCCTGGGCGTGGTAGCAAATCCAAACCATAAGACAATGGACATTTGAATCAAGTTTTGTAGACTAACAAGAAAAATGTGGTGAGTATTCAAGATTGCAACTGCTCACAATTCGGAAGGTCAATATCTAAAGATAGTAGAGAAGATTGTGTGTGATTTTTTGTAAGCATGAAGGATGTGAGCAGCTTAGTGTAAAAGAAATATGAGTTCAGTATGAAAAGATCTTTAAGGTCTATGAAGATAGTTTTTTAACAATTTTTAAAAATAATTGACAAACATTTGAGGAAATTGTCATTTCAGTAGGGTAGGTCATCATTATCCTTTGAGCTTAACATGACATATGAAAATGAGAATTCAAAATTACATTGGGAAATTTTAACAGTTTCCAAAGTGAGTTTCAGATTTATGCAGCATTGTTTAAATAGAAGATCAAAACAGCCCGTGTGACCAATAAAGGATGGATGAGTTGAATACTACAGTATACGGAAACATCTTCAAGATGCATCAAGTGGAAAAAAGGAAGATGTGTGACATGACATACTTTTGTGTAAAGAAAACAAGTACACAATTACACAAGTAACATCTTACATGGTCATGAATCTTGTACCATTGGAGCATCAGCTACTTTTATGGGGATTTGAATGGCTGGACCATGTAAATACAGGGAAGCATGTAATTTCTGATTAGAACAATAGAAATTTTACGAGAACTTACAGCTTTTCCTTTTCTCACGAGATGACTTGCAGATATATTCAAGTCAGTGTTGCTGGTACAGTAGTGACTGTCTAGTATCATTTTTTAAAAGGAGAAGGAAGACTTGCCATGTGGCTCAAGTCCCAACAGCAAAGATGATTATAAAAATCTAAAAAATGGTGTCTCGGGTTAAAGTAGCTATCAACTCTTAACTATTATTTCTTCTTTTTAAAGATACTATTTTTAGAAGGGAAGGAGAGGGAAAAAGGGATAGAAAACATCAATGTGTGGATGCATATCACGCAGCCTTCGCTGGGGACCAGGTCTGCAATCCAGGCATGTGCCCTTCATGGATGGGAAACAAAGCTGCGCCCCTTTGGTTCTTAGGCCTGTGCTCAAGCCACTGAGCCACATCAGTTAAGGCTTTTTCCAGTTTTAAATGACACTTTAAGACCAGCCCTGGGAGAAAAAGTTACTTAAATAAATGAAGACATCCTGTGTTGTCCTTAATCTTTTTCATTTCTTCATGGCATGCATTAATGCTGGTTATATAACTAATCTTGGCTCTTCCACCAAAGCTGCTAGTGATGGAGGACTCAAATTTTGGAAAAACTAGCATTAGGTAATAGCTTAGTAATCAATGCATGTAAAAAGCTATTGTTTCAGGAACTGAAGGTATGACCCACCTTGACCCCAGGAGACCATAAGCAGTTCCACCTTTGTGCCTCACGGGGACTGCAGGCAATCAAGGTATCTGAGCCATTGTACTCCGTGGTGAGACGTCCACCGCCCAGGCACAGATGAAAGAATGATGCAGCTTTTCTCTGGTTAACTCCCTCCGGCGTCCGCCCACCCCTGCCAATTCCAATCCCCTTACCTACACTTTTCTTCTCGCTATAAAAAGAGGGAGTTGAATATGGAATTTAAGAGTCTGTTACAGTACAAACTGGCTGTCTCTCAGATCGTTGACCATCTGAATAAAAGGCCCATAAAGATTCAGTCCCTTTCTCTGCTTATTCGGTCTGATAGGTGACACAGCAGGAACACTGGCTTTTCCGGGTTCACTAGCATTCTGTCAATAAGAGATTCTTTGAAGTTCTTACAATGAAGTAATTTTAACCTGCATCTGGTTTCCAAGGCTTCTGTAGAAATACTGCTGCAGCTTCTCTCATATCTGGGATTCATAACATTTCTTATTTATATTGTGATACTAATGTCAATGTAAGAGACATCGAAACCTCTACAGATTTTTGGTGAGTTTATTTGAGCCAAACTGACTGCAATTGCTGGAAAGCAAAATCTCTACAGATTGAGAAACGCTCCAGAAAATGGCAGTTTAGCACCTTAGTTTATATATTACAATCAAAGGAGGACACATAAAGGGGTTACATGAAATCTATTGGTGATAGATTTGGGAGACGGGAGAAAGCAAAAATGGGGTGGAGGGGAGACTTCTGGGATTGGATAAAAGGTAAAATGATAGACATACTTTTACATAGGTGGGTAAAGGATAATTAACAGTCAACAATTAACATGATAATAACAATGAGAGGATTTGTTCTCTAGTGGTTGTGCCCAAAGATTTTGGAAAAAGGGAAGTTACCTTGACATTCCAAAGTTCTGTTACAAACGCAGAAAGACAATAGACAGGCTTAGTTAAGATAAAGATTGACCTTTGTTAGGGAAAAATATGGGCCTAGGACTTGACTACCCGCTGTGAACTGCTTTTAGTTACCAAGTTTTAATTTTAATTTAATTATGCGGTTACCTAAGGTCTCTAAGTTTGTAAGGCTGCCACACAAGCCTGCCCTGAGCTTATCAGGTTAGTGTGTGGCCCCTTTTCTTCCACACTGACAAGGTGGGTTTTCAAAGTTTTACATGAAAACTTTTGATTTGTATGCTATCATGGTTCAATAGCTTAAGATCCCTTTTTCTTCACCATAATCTTGTTCAAGTTATTAACTTTTTTGTGCCTCAGTTCCTTCTTACTTAAAATAAGGACGTCAAGATAACAGTCCTTACCTCATAGGAGTGTGAGGACTGAGTTTGTTTAGTTAATGCTCTCAGTAAGTGTTAGCAGCTGTTGTGATGGTGGTTCTAATATTAGGTACAGAGAGGTAGATGGGGCCAAGATGGTGCGGAGTTAATGCTTCAGGTGTTCTTTAGACAACAAATGGGTTGTACTTTGAACCTTGGTGTTGCCTAGTAGTATCAAAATACTAGGTCATGGCGGATAGAGAAGCAATCTTTTGAAAAAATTTTAGCAAGGACGCTAAAAAGTTTTGGCACATTTAGGGGGATCTTAAGGCCACTGCAATTTACTTGAAGATAATCTGTTAAGCAAAATGGTTGTGAATGGATTATGGGAAAAATAAGACTATTATATTGTTGTTGGCTATTTACATGAGGAGCAATGTGAATGTGACGATCTAATTAATGCTCAGGTCAGTTAACGGTAGAAGCTCCTCAACAATTGCTGCACTTCTTCATTCAACCACAAGATGGCAATATTCCATTGTTTAAAATTTTTTTCTATTGTGCTTTTTCTCCTGCAGTCGCTCGGTCCATTTAAAGAGTTGAGTAACGCATATTAACAGGCTCTTTTGAATGCAGTCTTGGACTCAGTGCTATATGAATTAAGCTACAATTTGCTGTACTAATTTGAGTTTTTCTTCAAGTAGAACAATTATAACACTAATTCCTGACCTTTACATCCATTAAACACAGCAGAGTATACAGTAGTAAATGATTACTTGTGACATTGCCGCCAAAAGTGGAATAGAAATGAATATTAAAACCAGAACAATTTTCTACTTTGGCTGGGGGTGGAATCATTTAATATACACAATAGAAAAGGAGAATTGAAATTTATTTCTAGGAAAAGTAGCTTAGTGTAGTGAA